TTCAAGAGTCTAGGGTCCCTTAAGGGTACATATAGGGTATATAGTAGGTATATACGGGTCCCAGACTTAAGGGCCCATACTAGGGGCCCATGGCTTTAACCATCGGAAGAGGCACCATGAGCAAAATCCAGAGCAGGTCACTGCTGCGGGAGGGCCTCGTTACTCCTCGGAGCCCTGGCATCGAATAGACAGAGATGGAGGGGGCGGTAGCAGTCCGGGGACTTCCATGGTTTTCAGCCTTCTTGTCACGATTGCTTTTCGTGCTTTCTCACTGCCTCCCTACGACTGTACCCCTAGATGACTCTAGAATCTAGAGTGTATATGGATGATATCTCGAAGTTGCTGCACCCAACATGAGCTAGCTGGTGTCTTCGCCGGTCATGCATTCCTTTCAAAATGTCAGATACATGATGTAGTCCCGTTTCCGCTCATCATAAAAATGAGCGTTGATCGAAAGGTCCGTGTCTCCGGATGTATATAAATGCACCGGCCTCAACATGTAAAGCAGCGAGCGAGTGTTTGCGCGAAAGATTCGCGATGGGCCCACGAAAGGAAGTCAAAATCTGCGAAAGGTGTTCATTATCGCTTTTTGAAGCTTTTCTCCATCAGATCTGGTTTGCAAATGTGTACATGTAAGGGCAAGCTGACCGTTCTGCAGAAAAGCCTGTTTAACTGATACTCACAGAGAGTTGGATGCATCGGGCGAGAGTAATGTTGCGAGTCGAAGACGTGGCTGTGCAGATTTTAGGGGTGAGAACACACGCACGCGCAGATAGATAGACATACATGAATATGAAGTATCAATTACATATACATATACATATACATATACATATACATATACATATACATATACATATACATATACATATACATATACATATATATATATATATCTATATGGTACCGCCCCCCCAAAGATCTATGTTTGTTTACTGTTTTCAACTCTTCCCACTCAGGCTCCGCCCCGCGGAAGGCCACATTGAAATAATGAGCCACATTAAGTTTCAATATGGTGGATCCAAGATCCAAAATCCAAGATGGCACCGGACTCCTGGGAGGAATCTTGGATCACGGATCTTGGGTACACCGTATTGAAATTCAATATGGCCTCAATATTTCAATATGGATCCAAGATTCCTGCCAGGAGCCTTGTGCAGTCTTAGATCTTGGATCCGGCATATTGAAACTCAATGTGGCTGTGGCCTTCCGCGGGGCGGAGCCATATTGAAACCCAATGTGGTTCAATATTTCAATGTGCTCCTCTGTCCTTTGGTATTGTTATTTCCACGGCTCTTGTGACACCCTGCATGTGCATAGTTGCGACAGTCTGCATGTGCATATCTGCGGCAGTCTGCATGTGCACATCTGCGGCAGTCTGCATGTGCATATCTTTGTCATTCACATTGCAGCCCCTTGTGTTTCAAGACCGCTATTCCGCAGTCTCGCTACACTTTGCCATGATGCAATGGAACAGCATCACGGGCATCGCATTTCACAACGGCGAGGCCTTGCTCCGACTTGCTCCAGCCTCCTCGTCCTCTGCTGCTACAGTGCCATCCGAGACGGCAGCGGCATATCCGCCATCGTCGTCTATGCCATGGGGGGTAACCAGGAATGATGAGCAGATTATGGAGACAATCAATGATGGCAGGTCGAGGATTTGCGATACATGGTTCCAGCAGTCGGGATCTTGCTTGCTGCATGCTCATAGACGTGTTATGACATTTTGCACTGGCATTTGGCTGTTGAAGGCGAGGACAGAGGGATCGCAGTTGCTCCGTAGAGTCTGGAGCCCATCACAAGCATGGTGAAACATCCCGGGAAGAAGCCCGCGCAATGCTTTTCTCCGGCTAAGAAAGGCAAGACTCGAATGATCTTGAAGCAGAAGATGCACAAGAAGCCGTCGTCCAAAGCCACCCAACGCAAGGCATGGGTGTCCACACCTTACATTCGACAGGGCACGAAGGCACCACGTGTGGACCGGCTGAAGTGGAAGCGCACCGTCCAGTGCTTTTGCTCTCTGACCGAGAAGGATGCCATCGAGATCCTGATGAATGACGGCCTGACGCCTACGTGGGAGGGTGCCATCTGCCCTTTCTGTTCCAAAAGCAAAGTCGGCCCATTGCAAACGAGGTCTTCCAATGGAATGCCGGTGCCGGTGTTTCGGGTGTCAGATGTTATCGGAGTATTGTAGTCTCTGTTGCATGTGTTCTATCCATAGGTAGCAAGATCCCGGTGTCACCGTCACTGTACCGCGCAGTCATTCACAGGATAATCACTGAGAGTATTGTATATTCCCTGTCGCTCGTACTCTGTCCACATGTAGCAAGATCCAAAACTCCTTGCTCACGGGATAATATGTTAGAGTATCGCACTGGCTGTTGCTTGTCTTCTAGTAACATGTAGCAGGTTCTCGAAAATCATAAGTATTTGCAGGGGAAGGAGGGTAGTTGCGAGTGATCAGCATCCGTGTGCTGTGCAGATACTTGCGGGATGATCTCTTAGAGTATTGCGTTTCTTGTTGCCTGTAATTCTGCTAACACGTGCTTGTTGTTTCGGGTTAAAGTTGGTAGACTGTCGAAAACTAAAAAACACAGCAAGGAGTAAAAATCATAGATCTTTACGGGGGGTTGCAAGTATATTTATTTGTTTGTTTATTTATAATGTAT